CTGATAATCCTGGTACAGGAATTACATCTGGAACGATAAAGGCGAAGGATGTAGGGATTTTCTTATTACAGAACCGGTGATGTTTCTCACCTGTTTATGTTGCGATGCCTGTCAGATATCTTCCTCAGGGCTTTTGATTTAAGTACTGCTTCTCCCTGCTATATGTATCCAATGTAGGTGGCAATATGGAACGATAAAGATGAAGGATGTAGGGATTTTTTTCTTACAGAACTGGTAATGTTTCTCACCTGCTTATGTTTCGATGCCTGTCAGACATCTTCCTCAGGGCTTTTGACTTAAGTACTGCTTCTCCCTGCTATATGTATCCAATGTAGGTGGCAATATGGAACGATAAAGATGAAGGATGTAGGGATTTTTTTCTTACAGAACTGGTAATGTTTCTCACCTGCTTATGTTTCGATGCCTGTCAGACATCTTCCTCAGTAGGGCTTTGACTTAAGTACTGCTTCTCACCGCTGTATGTATCCAATGTAGGTGGTAATTTGGAACGATAAAGATTAAGGATATAGGGATTTCCTTCTTACACAACCGGTAATATTTCTCACCTGCGTACGTTTCGATGCCTGTCAGACATCTTCCTCAGGATTGCAGGGCTTCTGACTGAAGTACTGCTTCTCCCCGCTATAGGTAGCCATTGTAGGTGGCAATTTTGCGGTGAGAACATGATCCTACTCCTGGCTAACGAGGAGCAAAGAGGCGGTCTGGATATGGAAGTCAACCCTAGTGATGAAATGGGACGAGGGTGATGCCAACTTAGCCACGTTTGGGTAGTAACTTCCTTGTTGACCCCTTTAGCTACACATATCACAACATCTGTATAGCTTTGGCTGATGAAATTTAATTTTCCATTACCTGTCTTTGTAAGCTGATACTCCACTGGAACCAACTGTTCTATGTTGTGTATGGCGTCAATCGTCGTGTTCAGAGCGACCTCCACAGACGGGTTTTCCTCTGGATCAAATGGCGCCCAAACCCGCACCTTAAAAATAAGTCAATCCAAAGACCGTTGGCTTATCATAAGTTTACTGCTAGATTGACAGGTGCTATAGCTAGGAGAAGAAACTGCAGCGGTCATTGGAATATATTCACCCACTTTTCATATAGCTATCGAGCAGGCACATTCTGACCGCCATGTTGATGTCACTCTTTGAATTTAGCTGGAACGCAGATAAAGTGTACATGGCATTTTCGTGTTTCTTGCTCAATTTTCTCAGGCTTAATACACGTAACAGTGGTTATTGAGAGTATTAGAGTATATTTGAGGTCCTTGAGCTGCGAATCATCGACATGCAAATAAGGACACCAACATGGCGGCTGTCACAATGCTGACGTCATATTGAAACGCTCTATCAATGACCCTCATCTCTATGAATCTGTACACTATAAAGAAAAGTTTAAACAATGAAAAACAAAACGTAAACAGTCCATTCTCTAGATTACAGGGCTTCAGATACCATGCTCATCCAGCTTAAAGCGTGACATTTCAAATTCACAAGTGTCCCGTACGCGTGTGAAAAGATGAATCTTAAAATTTGTAACCTGGAAACCATTACAGACTTCATTCAATAACGGTAAATTGACCCGTCATTAACATAAATAAAAGTATAAACGACTTTATGATCGCCATGATGACCACCTTTTGACTGGATTAACATCATAGAACGTTCGTAAACCTTTAACTGGATCCTCTTTCTGACACCTTTCATCATTCATGCCATTTGCTTCTCGGCCTGTCGTAAAATCACCAACATGTCGTAAAACTAGTAAAATGTCGTAAACTGAGCATCAGAACTGCCGTGCCAGTCACTCACCACCCTCCCTCGGGAGATGACTGCCTCAAGACTGGTGAGCCCATCAAATAACGCGAAGCCCAGGAGGTGGGTGGACATCTTTGGGGTTCGATAGAACTCTTCCCTGACCCATCCGTCTGTCAGCACTGTCTTTGTCTTGGACGGCATATTGGAGAGCGCTGTTTGTCCTGGGGCCATGAAATCCATCAATTACATATGGATTTAAAGGACATTATGTAATACTAATTAATAGAAAATAGCATGGTTACAGTTAGTGCTTTGGTTAGTGCGCTACGTAAAGTTTTTTTTTAGCCATCAATACCAAATGCATTAAAGCTGCATTATGTAACACTAGGACAATACATAGATTATTTGGTCATTTTCAAGTACGTTGAATCAACCCTACTCCATTCAAAATACGTTCCATATTTCATTTTTGCTGCAAAATGTATAATTCCTGTTTAAAATTTATACATACTTCTCGTCTGCTTAGCACTCAGAACTTATGTGAAGCAACATGCAATTTGAACACATGGCACTGAACTTCTACACAGGATTATCTCTGTGGCCCATATCCAATGAGAATGACATAAGGCGTAACTTCAACTTGATGAATGCAAATGCTTAGAGGTGATAGAAGATGAATTGAATGTTTAACCTTTGGGGTGCTCTATCGTGACGTCAAAGGTGGCCTTCATGGCCGGGTCATCCATGCAGGGGAAGACGTACCGAGCTCCCATCGGCTTCAGACTGGATACCAGCATCTGCCTGGAAAATATTCCAAAATATTCACATCAATACAGCCGGTTTTGTAGCTAGGGTTGCTGACTTAGAATCTAAATGTTCTGGGTTTCAGCCGGTTTTGTAGTTATGTTTTCTGACTTAGAAGCAAAATGTTCTTCCAGCCTTTTTTTTTAGTTAGGTTTTTCTGCCTTGCAATCTAAATGCTTTGGGTTCCAGCAGGTTTAGTAGTTAGGGTTGCTGACTTAGCATCTAAATGTTCTGGGTTCGAATTCCTATAGCAGGCCCAATACAAGAGAAGATGTACAAATGTACATTTGACAGGAGGATCTGCCTCGAAAATATCACACAATCACGTTAAATCGGTGGCATTTGTGGTTAGGGTTGCTGAATCTAAAGGTTCTGGGTTCAAATCCATCCCATGGTCGCCCATACAGTGAAAGACGTACTGATCACTCTTTAGATTGGGAGTTCGCACTAGCATCTGCATCATACAATGTTCAAATCAAAGTTGATTTTATGGTTAAAGCTGTTGACTTAGAACTAAGGGTCCTGGGTTCGAAACTCTACCTATTTCCTCACTCGACTCAAGATGAAAATGGGTACATAGGATGTGACATAAAGCCAGAGGTCCTAATTTTGATGAGAACCTATCTACATTTGCTTATTTCCTTGACTTTTATATCCTAGTTATGTTACAGTAAGATCTTACCTTAACGTAGCAGAAGTATACACGTATAAAGCCTTAATTTTGATATCTCTAATAGTATCTTAAAGCATAATCGATTATGAGGTACAAAAGATGTTCCAACAGACCAAAATATCATCCTATTGACCTAAACCACGCCACTTGAAATTAGAATTTTACGGATTGCCTATATTTTTGAGTTTAGTGACTTTTGTTCTCAGTTGCCAAACCATTCATGGCACGAATCCACACGTCCTCAACCCGAACTAAGTAGCGATATTAAAAATCTCCAGACGATAAATTTCCTTGCCGATGTGTCAAGAAAAGAGGGAACCCATAATGCGTTTCCTAACCTTATTCACGATCATCTATTCCATCATAATAACTATAGGCGATTTACAATCTACGCTGCCACCTACTCCAGGAATTCCTGACCTTCCAAGGCTACTCAATTTCCGTAAGACAGTGAAATTGCAGTAGAGGAATCAGTCACCGGATCCCCTCTTTCTTTTCAATCTTCTGCTAGACATTGATGCGGCCCCGGAGGTGCTATACCCGGTACCAATAGAGCAGTCTATTTGTGGATCTAATAAAGTTCCTATTTTATGTGCGCGCACCTCGCGTGATTGTACCGTGCGTTTGAACGCTAGTTGCCCACCCGTCGCTGCACCGTGATGACACCTAACAGACACTTTATTGAAGCCTGATAACAGCCATCCCTCACCTTTTGTATGCAAGCAATAACGACCCATTAACGAAATGGAAATCTTCTAATGGTGAACGTAAATGAAATGGAAGTACATAGGTCTATTGGCGCAGTTTTGTTGGAAAACGTCTAGACTGATTCATTGATTTAAATAAAAGTCTAGTTCGTGTTAGGAATTGCATACGCTGCCCGATCCTTAAAATTTTGTGTTCACATCGATGCCCCTTCTGTTCTATGCTCTCATGAATATAATTTTTATAACATTAGTATGAAAATAAATAAGACTCCCTAAATCTTACGAATCGTAAGCATCAACACATACAAATAGATATTGTTCTCACATTTTTTGTCACACGTTCTTTAAGAACTCCCCCCATACACTGAGAATGGCAAGACTGCATTCAGTTTTATTCAGTCCATTATTGTTCAATGTGAAGGTGAATAGGAGAAGTAATGAGGATGAAAACCCACCACCATACTACTTATTTGATGACGCAAACCTCCACAAGTAATCTTCGATAGACAAGCTTCACTGATAAGCGTTTGGGTGAAAAAATCCAATAACAACTTCGGTAAAGCCCTGCTTTCAAAGAGTACCCTATATGTAAGAAGAAAAGCACTTACGGCAAGCAATTCATCACAAAACTTGACAACCCCTCCCCTTCCGCGCATTGCCAACAGTAACACATACCGAAATGATATAGCGTAATCCAGCAATTTTTTCTCGCCGTAGGCGACAATTTGATATAAATCTCTTTCTTTCATAGCTCTGGTACACGGCAATTTCATCACCGCTTGCGTCAATGGCAGCTTCCCAGTTGCACTGATCGCCGTCCACAAGGTGACATTGCAATGGCGTTGCCAACAGGTCGAAGAACTAGAAATGTCGCAGTAAGGAAATCTCGATTAAATCAAGATTTACAAATTTCAAAAGCAGTTGTACTCGTTATAAGTATATAAAAAACATACAAGTAACAAAAATACAAATAGTTTTTGATTTAAAGTGGGTAGTCTTCAATGTAGGCTATTGGTCAGCTTCTATGCCTAATGGGAGGGTCAGTAATAACAAGTCATTAATCACCAATATAGGACTGTAATCCCCCCAGCGATATAACCTGTAGTAGTCCCATTGACGAGATTGATAGCTAGGAGGCTCCCTAACGACCTGACAAATCCCATCTGATTGCTCATCACATTGATTACATGAGAAGTTTTATTAAAACAACAAAAAGTACAGTGAATTTCGTATAGTCAACTACAAACTACAACATAGAAATACAGTGATAAAATTTACATACTAAACAATAAGGCTAATATAAGTATATCTGTAATAGGCTATTGGAATCAGATCTAGCCAATCGTTTTTTCTGTATTTTCTTAAATGATGAAACAGACTTGCTTTTACTTACTGATTTTAAGAGTCAGATCAAAATATACATGTGTATTTGAATCTGCTGGTGGTATAGACTCGATTTGAATAAGTCAAGAAATGTGAGTAGAAAAAGTGGGATTAAAGGTGTTTCACGTGTATGGAGTAGGATCATCTATGGCCAATTATAAATCATTTTTTAACAATAAATGGCCAATTGAACGACCTATGATATATCTACAAAAGCTAATGCTTTCTAATGTTTCATTTATCGGCCCGGCTGTGAAAAAATAAAATATACAGCCAAGGTTGCCCAGCTGCCTGATGCCTTTTTGAATGGTTTAGTAGTGATCAGACAGTACAAAACATCAATTAAGATTTCAGAGGGTATTTTTTTTCAGAATTGCCTTGCCGAAGTTTTATTTTTACTTCATATAAGCCTTCCAAAAACCACCATAACCAAGATACAGTGTTAAATCCCATATGGATCGGTTGACAGTGTCTGTGGAATTTTTGATTTGAGCCTGTAAGGTATAATTTTATGGCTTTGAGATGTCCTATAGACAGACAAATCATCACATAAGTAGAATAAAACATCCATTATGCGTTTAACTGTTATTTTCTTCTAAGATACAATGTTCAATTTATCGCATGACTAGACGCGTTGAGTCTTCAAGCGGATATCTATACCAGAGGAAATTATCCCCCTTCAAAATGACTTAGGTATCCTTCTTCTTGAATCATGTACTCTTGAAAGACGAAGATCTTCTCGACGCCCGTTGACGAATTGTTAATCAACAGCATTCAGAAATAGGTAGAGAACCAAAGCCTAAACGACTGTCTGTTGCTGGTGCCCTTTTGAAGTACATTGGGTGCTACTTGTCTAAACCGTGCCTTCAAAAAGCTTTCAAGGATTAGTTATTGAAGCTTTCTCAAATCAACGACGCTCCTTTTGGGGGCTTAAGGATGTTAGTGATGCATTCTTGACGGCGACTTCAAACGCTAGAATGTAAGTCACGCCGTCGCCAGACAAATCCCTGACGGATTGTTTGACGCAAATTGGTCTGGCCCCAAACTATGACAAATACTCTCAAAGTTCTGTCGACCATAAGTCAACGTTGGGATCGGCTTCCTTTCAGGAGGGTTTAAAAGGTGTCGTGTGTGATTGCAATATTACGTGCCTTTGCATTCTTAATGTGGTTTGTATAGGAGAGTGCACTTACCTGAATGCATAAATGCCACGTATCAATCTTTCATATTTTGCTTTCAATTTATATCCATTTATGTATCAAACCATTGGAAAATCCATCGTCTACTACTGTAAAGAAGAACTCAAGGTCAAATCCAATGCCTAAAATAGGAATACAAGTGAAATAGCTGTTTACATCACTCCCTTTGTTACATTTTCCATGCATTGTATACTCTTTCCTCTTTTGGTTGCAGTTAGACCTCTGGTATAGACATGCAATATTTTTTTTTGCAAATCCTCTCTCATTGCCATATATTCTCTTGCAGTACCTTTTTGAAAGATTATACATGTAGCGCCTTTAAGCCCTGGTTAAGGATAATATGGTTTCGTCTAAAGTTTAAGAAGATATTTTTTGTAGGCACTGTTCATACATAAGAAAAGTTGACGGTTAAAAATGGCAAGTGTTCGATCAGAAGCTCATCTTCCGTAACGTTTAACTTCCAGTCGGAAGCCCCTTTCAAGCGTTACTCCATCGTGAGCAGCATATCATCTTTATTGAACATCACTTATCTGTGGTATATCAGGAGTCGCTATTAGGGCGAAAATACGACGTCCTCTTCGAAGAGTTCCATTTAGTCCCCAGGCATTCTCTCACATTTGCGACCAACAAATGGAGAAGTGAGGCACAGGAAAGATGGGCGGCACTTAACTCAGAGATAACGCACATGTGTACGTGCCAAGATTGCCAACGATCAGGCAGTAGCGATGCAACCATCTTCAACCCACTCCTGAAGTGTAAGAACATATCCCCAAGTTGCTTTTCATTTTTACCACTCACTTCAATTTGCTGATATCATTATATTCACTCGAGTACCGACCAATATATCGAGATATTTTGCAAGCTCACAGTATACCTATAATAACGTGCAATATTTACTTACTTCTTACTTGTACTTGAGTAATGGATCTACTCAAAATTCTATGTTTAAGAACTCTCAAAGCAATCCGTTTTGTAACATGTCATTTTTATACTGCCTTTACATTTGATACGTACACAAGAGAAACGGTTCATTCA